ATTTCATACAAACAGAGTTATACAGTATGTGACCTTCTATACAAGGCTTCTTTTTGCTTTCCATGATGTTATGTTTATAAGTGTGTGTGCACGCACTTTCTTCCTTTTTATGGCTGATATTACTCCAGTATATGGATATATTACATTTGCTTATCTATTCATCTGGTGGTGGAAATCCAGGTCCATAATTAAGAAAATCACTGAGTTTGGGGTTAGACTCAGAAATCACGAGTATTTACTGCTCTTGCAGAGAACCAAGGTTCCGTTTCCAGAACCAATACTAGGCAGCTCACAATTGCCCGCAATTCCAGCACCAGGTCATCTGATGCCCTCTTCAGGCCTCCAAAGGAATGTGTACTCACAGGGATACATGCCCCCCACCACCACATACACACAATTCTTTTGTGTTTTTGAGAATGGGTTTCTCTGTGTCACCCAGGCTGCCCTGGAACTCACTCTGTAGACCATTTTTCAGCAAGACTCCTAATTCAAAAAAACAACAAAACAACAGCAACAAAATACTTCATAATACTGCTAAGAAAATCGGATGATCTAATAGTTTGACTGAAATACAGTCTTTGAGTACTCAAACTGAATTGTTTTGAAGAATAATCTATAAAATTGCTCAAGAGGTAGACAAGAGGATCAAGAAGCCAAGGTCATCCTCAGCTACATAGCAAGTAAGTCAAGGCCGGCCTGAGTCACCTAAGACCCTGTTATAAGTAAATAAGAAATGAGTAAACTTAAAATCACAATCTAGGACCAAAGCAAACACTAAAGATGAAGGTCACACACTGGGTGGATCGCTGAGCTTTAATTGTCTCTGCATCAGAACTATGTTCCCTAAACTGGACCAACTCAGAGGAATGAATTGCTTATGATACAGTAACGCATCTTCTGCTCCTTATCTGACTACCAATTTACAGGAAATATAAATTGTCCTCAGAAAATAGTCTGCGGATTCCTTGGGATCCCCAAAACCATCCCTGAAAAGGGATGTAAAAAGAATCCATGAAAATGGGGGATAAGTTACACAGCTACAATTCCACAATTATCTTCAAAGATACAATTTGTACTGATTTGAGAACATCAATTCTTTTTTGTTTGTTTGTTTCGTTTGGTTTGGTTGAAACATGGTTTCTCTAAGTAGCCCTGGCTGTCCTGGAACTCACTCTGTAGACCAGGTTGACCTCAAACTCCAGAGATACCTCTGCTTCCCCAGTGCTAGTTTTAGAGGCAAGTGCCATCACAACCTGGCCCATCAATTCTTTTTAACAAGTTTTCAGTGAAAACATGCTCATTTCTAACTCCAAAATAAGTAACAGTATCATACAACATAGAAATCTGTCAATTTATAACAGAATCTCTTCAAGGGTAGATATATTATTTTGCTGTTTTCAAAGCAAATGTTATAAAACCAAACAAATTAGAGCAGGTAATATGCAGTACTTATTTTATATAACATTATTTCTTAATAATCTAAAGCATTATCAGTGAACACAAAGTCAACAAATACATAAGAACTTTCATCAAAAGGCAATCAGTTGAGCTAAACTGAAATAAGAAAATCCAAAGGAACCATTATCTTCTTCATGCACACCACTCACAACCAATATAGAGCGATAGTTTCCTAGTACACAATCATGGTGGGAGGGGCATAGAGGTCCTAGAGCTGACGAGCAAACCCTGCAGGGAAGGGGAAGGGGAAGGGCCCTCAGCGGAGGCCCCACACATCACCTGTGACGAGGGAAGGAGTTTGGGGGCAGACCACTGTGGGACCTGTGTACAATCAAAGCTCACCACCACCAGTACCATCGTCACTGCCATTCAGAACCTCTATCTGCATGTCCTTTTCTTCCCAAGTGTAAAGCATTTCACCACGTAAGGGCATTCCTGAGCTCTGCTCCAACAATCTTACCACTTGCCCACACACCTGCACCTCTGTCTCTTTTACAAATTGGACATTAAAAATAAATAAGTAAATTGAACATACCTAGCACAGATCTCATTCCTTCCTTTTCTGCCTATTGTAATCATTATCTTAGAAAATAGTACCCAACCACTGCTTTTCACAAAGCTTTTGTTTTGCTGAGGTGGTTGGTTTGAGGCAAAATTTATCTAATAAAGCCCAGACTAGAGTTGAACTTTAATTTGCCTGCCTCAGCCTCCAAGTATGAATCATAGGTAAGCATCACCAGGACCAGAGCTATACATGTATTTGTTGTAACTCTAAGTAGTGTAAACAGGAGGTCTGAGAGGTTTCTAACTTTTCTAAATGGCAAACTGGTCTGTACCCGAACTGTTTTACTCAAGATTTGGCTGTTCCTGAATTCAGTTATGCTGTTTCACATACTCTATCAGGAGTGCCCAACAGTTTGATACTGTATTGGTTGCATGTGTTTGTAAATGATTTCCTGCCTGTCCACTGCCCCCATTGCTAACTTTGACATTTCTGACTTCTCAAAATTCACAGTTACTTTCCAAGTTTCCACAATTGGTGCTTCTCAAGGCTTTTGGAGTTTTTTTGTTTTCAGAGACAGGGTCCCTCTGCATAGCCCTGGCTGTCCTGGAACTCAATATGTAGACCAGGCTGGTCTTAACACTCGGAGATCCTCTGCCTCCTATGTGCTGGGACTAAAGGCGTACACCACCACTGCTGAGCTTCTCAAAGCTTTTGATCCCCTTAGCTGGAACCCTCACTGAAAGCCAATCCAAATAATCAGACTGAAATCAGAACAGCAGCTCAATTTCTTTTAAAAGTTGCTACCTTCTTAATCACAGCAAACACACAAGACAATCTGACCTCCACGGGCACCCATGTGCAAGTAAGTACACACAAACACACAGACAGTATGTGTTGTAGAACAGGTGTGGGTTCACTCCGTGGAAAGAAGACACAGGGGCACCTTGAGGATGATTTTAGCCTTTCAGGGGACTCTGCCTCTCCCAGGCTGAGACACTCTGTCTAAACCCAGGGATTTTTTTATTGTTATCCAATTCATACCTTTAGCAAGTCCATTTCCATATACCCAAACATCTTATCTATGTCTCTCAAAGGGACAACGCCAAATGCAAATTCCTGATCAAGGCTTATCATGGTTTGTCCATATTTCCCAACCAAGTTTTGTACAGGCTTTGCACCTCTGGGAAATTCTCTGACACGATTTACATATTTCAAACACAGCCCTGAAGACAAAGGGCAGATTAAAGCTAGGAGCCAACATTCCAGAATCAAGTCAGAGGCAGCTCTGCAGGGGTTCTCCCTACAGTAAGTGTAACAAAGGGGGCTGGAGAGATGGCCACTCTTTCAGAGGACCTGGCTTCAGGTCCCAGTACCAACATCTAACCATATCTACTTGTTAACTACCGTTCCAGGGAACCCAACGCCCTCTTTTGGCATCTGTGGGCACTAGGCACAGCAAGAAGAGAACATACATAACTAAGGCAAACAATCGTGCACATGAAACTAATTTTACTAATGCAATGAAGAAAAGTTACCTGGGGGTGGTGGTGCACGCTTTTAATAACAGCACTGGAGGCAGAGGCAGGCTGATCTCTGAATTTGAGGCCAGCCTGGTCTACAGAGTTCCAGGACAGCCAGGATACACAGAAACCCTATCTGGAAAAACACAACACAACCCACAAAAACAAACAAACAAAAAATTAAAGCACAGACAGTTTATATGAACTCCATGCAGATGTCTGAAACAATAAAGAACAGTGCTACTTTATTCAATGATTTAAGAATTAAGGTATAATTCAGATTAAGCCAATGAAAAAAACCACAGGATCTCAGGGCAGTGGTGGTGCCCGCATTTAATCCCAGCACTTGGGAGGCAGAGGCAGGCAGATCTCCCTGAGTTCCAGGCCAGCCTGGTCTACAGAGCCAGTTCCAGGAGAGGCTCCAAAGCTACACAGAGAAGCCCTGCTTCGAAAAACAAACAAACAAAAAGGAAAGAAAAGAAAAAAGACAGGATCTCACTATGTACTATGTAGTCCTGGCTGACCTGGAAATTGCTTATGCAGACCAGGACGGCCTCAAACTTCCTCTGCTTCCCATGTGCTAAGATGTGTGGCAACACAGGGCCACCGATATTTAATTTTCTGTGGATAAAACACAAAATAGGTCTTTACAGATAAAGTTTATTCAGCAGGAATGAACTGAATTTTTGCGTATCAGTGAGCAAAAGACATCTGTGCAAAAAAAAAATCACTTGGCTTTGGGTATCACTACTAAGTATTTTGCAAAATGAAGACGCTGAACTAAAGAGTCCTTAGGTTACTGTCATTTTCAGGTAAGGCATCTATAATCCAAAAGCTAAAAGTAATTCGGCAACCGAGATTCTCTTTCCTACCAAATAAAGGCTCTTCGCAACACGTGTCTTCAAACCCGCAGTTCAAAAACTGCCAAACCTCTTATTAGACAAACTGATCTACCATAGAGAGAGCACAACTCCCAACCCTAATTTTTGTTCTGTTTTGTTTTTCTTTCAACTTACTGAATTTTTCCTTCTATCCTCCATGAAAAACTACACCCTGGGAGAGCGGAACGCCGACTGCGCGAGTTTCGGGCACTAACCGGGTGCGGGGCCCAAACCTCTGGACACTGACCCAGTGTTTGGCTGAGTGGGACTCTGCGATCACCGCGGAGCAGGCACGGGACCTGCGGGAGGCGTGGTGAACGCAGAGCGGGACGCGCTACTCCCCCGGCGGCCCGCAGACCCGGGAGCCGACGCGCGAGCCGCGGCGGGGACGCGCAGGAAACGGGGCTACCAGCGGAGCCCCGGGGAGTCGGGACGGTTCGCGGAGCGCCCGGGGCAAGAGGCCGGCAGCGCGGGGACGGACGCGGGACCCAGGAAGCCGGGGTGCGGCGCGAGACGCCGGGAGCCCCGGAGCGCAAAGCGGGGAGCCTGGGGCAGGGGGGCGGCGCGGGGCGCCCGGGAGCCCCGGAGCCGATCGGCAGCGAACCCCGGGGAGCTCGGGGCGGGAAGGCCGCTCACCTTTGCGCAGCTCGCGCTCCCACACCGTGACGATGGGCCGCGAGTGCTTGCGGTGGTGGATGAGCCACAGGGACAGGGTCTGCACGCTCTGCTGCGAGTTGCTCAGCTCCGACAGCTTCTTCTCCAGCGCCGCCTCGGAGAAGGCGGACATCCCTCCGCCGCCGCGTCCGCGCCGTCCCACACCGCGGAGCCCCGGGGAGGAGAGTGTCGCCGCCCTCGTCGCCGCCTCGCCCCCACACCCCACCCTTCCCCACGCCCTCACCGCCGCCACCCCCGACTCCCAGGCGGGCCGCAAGCGAGCAAGATGGCGCCCGGCCGGCAGTGACGTCAGGCGCCGGCCCCCCCGCCCCGCCCCGCCCGTCGCGCGGCTCACCCTGGGAAAGGGAACGAGCGCCTCTCCCTCCCCACCCCACTCCCCCGGGAGGGAGGCGGGAGTCGGAGGGAGGAGCGGAGCGGAAGAGGCAGGAACTGCGCTGGGAAGGAGGGAAGGGGCGGGGCGCGGCGCGGCGGGGGCGGGACGGGGGCGTGCCTCCCGGGGCGTGGCCAGGCCTCCGGTGAGAAGAACCGGCCTTCTGAGTCCTTGTTGCTAGACAGAGCTGCTCTGCCGCGTTCCCGGTGATGACAGATCGCAGAGTAGGTTTTGTACATTGCTATAAGTTGGTGCGGCCACTTTAGAGGACAGTTTGCGTAATCGGTTGCATTACGTATCGCATAATCCTAATGGTAACAACAGCCAAGCGTCACCAAGATATTCACCATGTCTTTGTAGGGTGGGCAGTGTTTTGTTTTTGGTGAGAGTTTTTGAAAAAAGGTTTTGCTGTGTAACAGCCCAGGCTATCTTTGAATTCACTTTGTAGACGAGGCTGGCCTGGAATTCACAGATATCTGCCTGCCTCTGCCTCCCGAGTGCTGCAATTAAAGGCCTGTCCCACCACGCTTGGCCCCTGTGTTTGTGTGTGTGTGTGTGTGTGTGTGTGTGTGTGTGTGTGTGTGTGTGTGTGTGTGTGTGTGTGTGCTTTGTGTATGTTGTATATATGGGTGTTGTGTGTATGCTGTATGTAGCCCGGCCACATGCATGCACTGCAGATGGGATCCATGCTTCTACAAAACTCTCTGGAGAAGGAATGCATGCTAGCACTTTCTTACCTTCAGAAAGCTGGCCAACATTTCTGTGCAACATCTTCAGCCTCAACTGCAAAGTTTATTATCAGCTGTTTTATATCAGATTCAAGACCAAGAATTCCATTTTTTTAAAAAGAGAAAGACAATTCACTGAAAATGTGAAGACTGTAGAAAAAAATACATCCTTGATGCTTTTAGTGACTACTGCCAACAGCAGAGTAGCCAGAGCAACAGTAATCAGCACCAAGAGCCAAATGTTCAAGCCGTTCTGTTCCTCGGAACTTCGGCACAGTAGGTAAATCCCTAGACTGTGAAGTGTACACATAACAACATTCACATAGCAATTTGAAAAAACGGAGAGAATGGATCACTTCATTTGTTTTAAGTTATGAAAACAAAATCACATTTTAACACTGTTTTATTGGTTTGCTTTTTTTTTTTTTTGAGACAGGATCTCATGTATCCCTAGCTACCCTGAAACATGCTACCTAGACCAGACTAGCTTTGAATTCATAGGGATCTGTCTGTCTCTGCCTCTGGGTGCTAGATCAAGGGTGTGAACCACTGTTTTGGGTTATTTGATTGCACTGTGAAACTCCAAGACTAGGGAATAAAATTAACCTTGGACCAGTGGGCGGAGCAGCAGCTAGTTGACCGGAATTGGCCACAGAGTGGGCGGTGGGGCCAAGAATCTGGATAGAGAGTCACACAGGAAGGAGTAGGGATTCAAGAATCTGGATAAAGAGTCACACAGGAAGGAGTAGGAATTCAAGAATCTGGATAGAGAGTCACACAGGAAGGAGTAGGAATTCAAGAATCTGGATAGAGAGTCACACAGGAAGGAGTAGGGATTCAAGGCTTTGGGACAAGTGGAGAGATTCTCTTGCTGGGTCTCTGACCGAAAAGGAAAGTTGGCTGGTTGCTTCTCCATTTCTCTGATGTAGCAGATTTTCACCCCAACATCTGACTCACAAGTCTTTGTTGGTAAACACAGCAATAGAGACTTAATTAAAACCTACATTTGAGCCGGGCATTGGTGGCACGCGCCTTTAATCCCAGCACTTGGGAGGCAGAGGCAGGCAGATCTCTGTGAGTTCAAGACCAGCCTGGTCTACAGAGCAAGTTGCAGGACAGCCTCCAAAGCTACACAGAGAAACCCTGTCTCAAAACAAACAAACAAAAAGAACATAGAAATTCCTAAAGCATCTTTTGAGAATAACAGTGGCTCAAGAACTCTAACAAAACTGGGTGTAGTTGGGCGAGCCTATATCCTTGCACTCAGGAAGTGGGATCAGGAGGATTAGAGATCAAGGTCATTGTGGCTAAACAGATGGTTTCAGGCCAGCCTGAAATGCAAGAGTTCCTGTCTCAAACAAACCAACAAGGAACCATGTACTCAACATGCATCAAATGTTTATTAATCTGTTTGGTAGCCAGGTGTGGTTATTATCTTGGCACTTGGCAGGCTCAGGCTTGGAGACTGCTGAAAGTTCAAGGTCAGCATAAGCAGCTTGGAGATTTCAAGGCTGGCCTGGGATTTAGCAGCAGACTCTGTGTCAAGAAGAACAACATGCATGTTTTGAATCTGACTAGTTAGAAGCACAGTTTGTCCCATTTGTCACAGTGTGACATCTTGCAGCGTGGAGGGAGTTTACGAGAGGACTCTCCTTCCACACATTTGGCAGTGACCCCTCCTATGTCACAGTCTTCTTTGTCTTCCTGGCACGCCCTTCTCTCTATCCAGTTCCTTAGACCTAGCTCTGAGTCCTTAACATAGTGTAAGTTCAAACCTACAGACCTGCAGAGACCCTCATGTATCTTTAATGCCTTCCTCTCTGCATCTCTCAACCCCTGTGCTCACTGGGGACTCCATCTCTCTCCTTTCTTACTGCACACATGCCTCAACTTTGCAAACCACCTGACTCCAGCCTTCTTTTCTTCCCTTCCAACCTAACATGTACAATTTCTTCCTACCTGTGTTGTCCAGCATCTTGTATGGCTTGTTAGGTACTGGTGCTATTTAGTTGCTTGCTTTCTTGCCAGCTGGATTTTGCTGTCCTTGAAGCTTCTGTCTCTCTTGGTCCTCAGTCTGACTCATCTGTGACCTCCCTAAACTCCCAGTGTATTCCACACATGAGTACCTGCCTGTGTTCCAGCTTGTTGGAGCTACTTAGAAACATTGTTACTTACTGCTATTTTCACCTTGTAATAATTACATGTATCCCATACTTATAACTTTTCATTTCTCTCTCCTCTGCTCTCTCCTTTCTCTCTCTCCTTTTTTTTTTTTTTTTTTTTTTTAGACAAGGTCTCTCTATACAGCCCTGGCTGTAGTGGAACTCACTATGTAGACCAGAGTGGCCTTGAACTCACAGAGACCTGCCTGCCTCTGCTCTCTGAGTGCTAAGATTAAAGGAGTATGCTATATTTTTGTCTCTTAACCACAAATTAGAAAGGAAGAGGTAAAATGATCTCTCATCATAGAAATCTTACTGAGTGTTGTCATGGGGTATCCACCAGAGAAGTTTGCTCAGACACCCCTTTTGTGTATTTTATTTTTGGGGGGTTTTGCTTTTTTTGTTTGTTTTGTTGGGGTTTTTTGTTTGTTTGTTTGGTTGGTTGATTGGTTGGTTTTTCGAGACAGGGTTTCTCTGCATTGTTTTGGAGGCTGTCCTGGAACTTGCTCCGTAGACCAGGCCTGGAGCTCACAGAGATCCTCCTGCCTCTGCCTCCCAAGTCCTGGAATTAAAGTGTGTGCCACCAATGTCTGGCTGTTTTTTTTGTTTTTTGTTTGTTTGGTTTGGCTTTTGAGACAGGCTGTCCTGGAACTAGCTCTGTAAACCAGGCTGGCCTCAAACTCACAGTGATCCTCTTGCCTTTGCCTCCTGAGTGCTGGGATTAAAGGCGTGCACCACCACTGCCGAGTTTCAGACGTGGTTGTAAGCCAACTGAAATTCTTTATTAGCTGGCTAACTACTACACTGGCTGTTTAGGATTCCAATGTCACCTGGACTGAACCTTTCTTAGGGTAACCTTTTAAATCCAAAAACCATATCGTGGGTTGACTTACTTCAGTTAACAAGAGCAGTTAGCTACCGGCAGAACTACAAAAGCAAAAAAAGCAAGCTTAGTACATTTAGAGATTATCCCAAAACTGTTGACTTTGATGGATTAGGTCTTTGCTGAGTTGTGTAAAGAGAAGCTTTTTCCTTGAGAGAAGCCTTTTTGTAAAGGGAGGCTTTTTCCTTGTGAGAAGGCTTCCCACCAGCCTGGTTCTAGAGCCGCATCAGTCCCAAATAAACACACAGGAGGCTATATTAATTATGAAGCTGTTGGCCTTGCTTGTTTCTTACTGGCTAGCTCTGACTTAAGTAATTGCCCCATAATTGTTAATCTAAGTATGTCTCTTACCGGAGAAGTTTCCGGGCTTCCTACCCCATGGCGTTACATCTTGACTCTCTTGTGTTTCTCCTACCCAGAGTCCTCCTGGACTCCTAGTCCCACCTATCTAGATTCCTATTGGCTCAACAGTGCTTTATTGACATAAGACTTCCCCAACATCTCCTCTTTTCTGTTCAAACAAAAAGAAAGGTCTTAACTTTAACACAGTCAAATTGTATATAACACAGTTACAATATTTTGTCAACATTTAGCAAGATTTAAAGAAAATATCATCCATCCCATCCTTGTGAGTCCAAAGTTCTATATGTAGCTTATCTTTTATCATAACTAAGGAAAACTATAATTATAACTATCTATCTTCAACTCCATCAAAGACCACAGAAGGATAATATATAAACACTAGAAATGACAGAGACATCTTGCTACCTGGACAGTCACTCAAAGTTCCTCTGTAACATTGGGGCATCCATCTTCAGCCCATAGGCCACAATGTGTCCAGAAGATTTCTCAGCAAAGCAGGAAATTTCAAACTGTCCATCTGCATTGGCAGTTTGTCAGTCATTTCTCTGTGTCCTGCAGAAAGTCTCGTAGACTCTTCCATGAAGCAGGAACCCTGTAAGACTGAGTTCAGCAGTCACTTTCCTGTGGGTCCTGCATGTCCAGATTATAAAACAACAGTCAAGCAGTACAGGCAAGAGCAGTTTCTTGCCCAAA